TGACATGCTGGGGGAAAATATCTTATATTTCCTACTTCTTTTGGGGATAATTCTTGTTGTATACCCATCACAACCATATCTTCGCGGGGTTTTATTATTATTATTTGTCTTGCCTTTAATGTTGAGAAGTGTTCTAATTAAACTATCACATACATTTTTCTCCATGTACATCACATCAAGACAATGTCTTACATCAAGAATGGACCAGTATGGAAGATCGAAGAACACTGACCTCTTTTTCCAAGAATTTTTCTCCATGAGCTTTTTTTGTTTCTTTCCTAAGATAACTTTAATGTGTTGTTGTTTTCTATAAACTTCCTTCTCGGTTAAGGGTTTTGGAGCGATACGAAACTCCTTCTCTCCATTGAAAGTCTTGTGCAATCTACGATACAAATGATTAGCTCTTAGAAATCTTTGATGCCCTGGATAAAGTGTCTTTTTTAATTTTGGTAATTGGTGGTGACATGTATTACCTTCACATATAGGACACGCTTTATGACTCTTGCGTTGTACCTAGACAAATCATCGTATGCAAGAAAGTCATTAATTGTGCAAAACAACATGGCACATGACTTAAAGTTATCACTTGTATACGCATCATCAACATCAACACCTTCCTCCCACAAAAGTCTTAAATCTTTAATCAATGGCGATAAACAACTATGTCGTTCCCTGGTTGTTTTGGACCCGAAATCATCATCGATAATATCATATACTTGCGCTTCATGCACAACCATGGAGATATGTTGTAAATTAAGAGAAGAACATGCCTTGATGTATGGTTCGTACTAATATTACCAAAAGGTTTCATTCCATCGGTGGCAAGTCCAAGCCTAAGGTTCCTCTATTCAAGGGCAAAATTTGTAAACAATAAATTAATTTTCTTCTATTGCAATGAATCAACTACATGGTAAATTTTTCCATCACACACTCTTTCATCTGTATCTCATCTAGTATTCTTTGCTTCACTAACATTATAAAACAATCTCTTGAACCTTGGAATTATTGGTAGGTACCATATCACCTTGACAGAAACACCCTTGTTAGTTGCACCATCATCGTCATCAACGCCATTGTCTTTCTGTTTATAGCGCGACACCCCACACCTCGGGCACTCCTTCAAGTTTTCAAATTCATTCCTATATAAGATAAAATCATTAGGACAAGCATGTATTTTGACATAATCCAAACCCATTGGACATAATATCTTTTTAGCCTCATAAGTACGGTTTGGCAACGTGTTACCTTCAAGAAACATTTCTTTCAATAATTCAAGCAATTCAGTGAAGCTTTTATCCGTCTACCCACCTCTCGCCTTAAGATTAAATAGTATTAACACAACTGACAATCTTGTAAAACCTTTACATATCGAGTACAATGAATCTTCCTGTATTTTTGTAAAGTATCTACCATACTAACTTTCTTGAAAGCATCTACTCCAATATCACTAATGACGTCTTCTAGATTATCAGTCATACATTCATGATCTTCAACTGTTTGTGACAAAGGTCTCTTTTTTGACCTTTCACCATGCCATACCCATTTCTTGTAATTTTGAATAATTCCATCACAACCACAATGATTGAATATAACATTCCTTGAATGTTTAGTCATATTATAGAATTTCATACAAGAATATCAAAAAATTCCATTGTTGTCAGGAAGGTTTTTTTCCGCGAAATCAAGAAATTATTTCAATCTATTCTCATACACGCTACTTAATCTATTAAATTTCATCCAACTACGATCCCTAATCATATAAATCTTCTCAATAACAACAATAAAACAATACGTGGAGAACACCAAGAACAACAATAATGGAGAACAACAAGAACATACCTAGGAGCTCCTTGGAGAAAAAATGTTCTTTCATTGACTAAGATCTTTGGAGTAGAAGTGTTCTTTCATTGGATAAGCTCATTGGAGTAGAAGTGTTCTTTCATTAGGACTCGAGAAATGAATTAGGGGAATCAAACATATATAAAAATTTTATCTCGGCTAAACTAAAAAACTGAGGTAGAATAGCCGACGTAAAATATATTAAAAAAAATAGGCGCCTTTTTATTTTCCAAAAGAATAAAAAGTTAAGGAGTTTTTATCTCGGCTTTGGAAACAACCGAGGTAACATATCCGATGTAAAATCTTTAAAATATAATAACGCCTTTTTTTGTTTCATATAAAGCACTAAATAGCAGGAGCTGCGAATGGAACCTCAAACCCTGAGCATTTATTTATGCAGGTTTTATTAAAAGCCGAGGTAATAAGATTTATTATTATTTTTTAAATAAAACAAAGCTCAGTGCTCACATGTACCCGGAGTTTTGTTTCATTCATTGTGAAGGCTTCGTCATGAAAAGCGTTATTTGTTTTAGTGATGGGAGAAGGCATATAGGTGTAAAGAGAAATTCTCTTGTAGTAATTCGACAAGGCTTAATAAGTTTATAAGCCGAAGAAGTATTTTACAATGACTACTTTCTCTATTTTAAAGTGCATTGATTACTTTTCTCAAACACTAAGTTTTATTTGTATCACATTATCTTTAAGATAAATTTAATAAATAATCCAACAAGTGGTATATTTATTTACATCACCTTTAAGATCAATTTTTGTCAGTATTAGATCTTATTATAGTTAATATATGGATTAGGAAAAGAGATGAGCCTCTTATCACATATAAAAGTAGGGTGACATGTCCTGATGTATATTTCTTTCTTATTAGAAAGTTATATTGGAAGATTTGCTTGGACTGTAAAATTATTCCATGAGAGAGCTTGACTATGCAACATAGAATATTGATTATGGATGCTAGAGTAAAGGAAATAGTAATGAGAATAAGTCACATGGGAGCGCCACATATTAAGTGGTGGCTTTTGAAGGTGAAAAACAAGAAAGCTTCCAACACAAGATCTTGGAAGGAGGGTTTGGAAAACCATAAGAAAGTGAAAATGATATATGGAATAAGATGATGCGAGAAATTAGAGAAGTGGTTAAAGAGACGTTGGGGAAAATTATGAGGTTTTGGACCTAGGGGTATAAAGTCGTGGTGGTGGAACGGAAGTGTGCAGAGTAAAGTTAGAGTAAAAAATAGATTTCTTTAAAGAATGGCCTAGGTGTAAAAACATTGAAACTTGGGTGGGAAAAGTATAAGAAAGTTAAGAATGAGACCAAGAAGGTGATGAGTGAAGCAAGAACTCAAGCTTTTGACGGACTATACCAATCTTTAGGAAGCAAGGAGAAATAAAAGTCTATGTACATGCTTGCTAAAGGAAGAGAAAGAAAAACAAGAAATTTAGATCAAGTGAAGTATGTTAAACATGAAGAAGGTAAAGTTTTGGTTAAGCAAAAAAGATATAAAGGATATGTGGAAGACATATTTCTACAATTTATTTAACGAAGGATATGATATCTCATCGAACTCTATAATTACTACTTTCAAATTTAGAAACAATAGGTAAGTGAAGCTTGAAAAGGATGAGTAATAGTAAGGTGGTTAGACCAGACAATATACCTATTGAAGTATAGAAAATTCTTAGAGAGAGAGGCATTGAGTGACTCACCAAACTGTTTAATGAAATTATGAGGTCAACGAAAATTTCGGATGAATGAAAAAAAAACATTTTAGTTCCAATCTATAAGAACAAGGGAGATATACAAAATTATACAAATTATATATGGAAATAGCTCACATATACAGAGAAGAAATAATTGTACAAAATGATGGAAAAACATAATGGAATGTAAACCATCGAAATCAAGGTGGGTTGCTGAAATGAAGGAGGACTTTAAGGGTTTTATGTGACACAGAGGTATCGCTCAAGCGGAAGGAAAATTATATTGGACTGCGGTAAGATCTGCAATGTTGTACGTGACAAAATATTGGACGTTTAAGAATCAACACAAGAATAAAGCAAGTGTATAAGAGATGAAGATGTTGCGTTGGATGTGTGGTAAGACTAGAAAAGATAGGGGTTAAATGTACAACACCCACCTACAATGTAAGCGATATTTGAGTTACCCTTGTAATTCTTTTTTATTCCCTCCTTGTAATGTTTAGATTCCGTGAGTTTAGTCCATGGTTGACTATTTCAACTCAATTCTTTTTTATCCAATGTGATTGTTCACATGAATTTTTTTAAATATCATTTATTTTTTTAAATTCTACATAGAAATTTTTAATTTAAAAATAAATAAATATTCTTTAAAAAAATTAATTTTAAAAAACAATTATTACGAGGGGATAAATGAAAATTCGCTCACATTACAGGTAAAATATTTTTTTTCCTATTTTCATGATATATAAGTTGCCAAAGTAACAGAAAACCACTGCATCCACTAAAGCACATATTTTTTTTACAGAATATCAAACATTTTATAATGTGTCCTAATGGATTTCCTACAAATAATGACACAAGGTTCTAAGAACAATCACATGATTGAAATTTAGATATGGGATTCCATACTATATGTGTTATGTTGTTGTCTTTTTGCCTTACAACTTTGGCAAAATATCGGTTCTTATCGTCCAAGGTGACATCAGAGTCGGGAACTTTTTTCTTCTGCAATCCATGATTCACAACACTAGCTAACAATAATACTAGCTAACCAACTTCACCTAAAATTGACAACTAATGTTATGTATCCACTCCTTATTACCCTATCAATTTTCATTAGTTGAAACATAGGGGCAAGGAGAAGCTTCTTTAGGAACAAAATTTGTTACTGTCAACTTTAACCACTTAAGCCATATTAAATGAAACTCACTGCAAAATGTTATCCAACTCTTCTTAACATAATGCAATTTACATTCACTATATTATACTTGCAATATCCATAACATTCAAACTAATTTTGATATATACTTGGGTCAGCAAGCCACTCCAATACTAAATAGAATCAGAACAAAAATAAAGACAAGAACAATTCAATCCAATATCGAAAGAATCATTATCCAACCAAAACAAACACACGAATAACCAACAACCGTCACTCGACAAAAATATTCAACCTTCGAATCTTTGAATCGAAGACCTCCGCGAAAACCGTTGTCCCGACAACCCACAACCTCTTTCAGAACAATCCCTCTCAGATCTCCAAAAACTCCCAAGTCCTGGACGCACTCTACGATATCGTTTCACCTTCCCAGCTCTTTCAAAAACAACAAAATTTCCATCAACTCTCCGCAGCACCCCAAGCGAAGTTTATCATGAAGGTTATTAGAGTTATGTAGTGGTGAATATCATGGAAGAAGAAGAAGGGAAAGAGGTTTGAAAAATATTGTGAGTGTGAGAGGAAATTTGTCTTCAACAATTTTTTTTTAAATAAATAAAAAAATTAAAAGACAATTTTGTACTCCTTATAATATGAGCGAATTTTCATTTACCCTCTCGTAATAAATAAAAAAAATTAAATTAAAAAATTTATTTTAAAATAAAAATTGTCACGTGACATTTAAAAAAGTATATAATATTATAAAGATTTTCACTTGGACAGTGATGTAAAATAAAAAAAATATTTTAGTTTGAAATAGTCAATAGGGACTAAATTCACATAATCTAGACATTACAAAAAAAATTAAAAAAAAAATATTACAGTAAAATAAATCAAATATCACTTAATCTATAGAGGATTGCATATTTAATCATATATATATATATATATATATATATATATATATATATATATATATATGTATATATATATATGTACCTTCCTTAATTACCTCATCTTACTATCATGCTTATGTTTATATGCCTACATAAGATAGAATTTATGTATACCAAGAATATCCGGCCCATATCTGTCAAGACAGGACCACAAGAAATGGGTATGAGTGGTAGGTTCCATATACCTTCTGCTTCAGCCATCCAAATGCTAAAGTTAAGAATTGTGTCATCATCAGACAGCATATATATGCAACTTTTCAACTAGAAATTATTATGTTCTCTATCATTGAGTGTATATGTATCATCTTAGTTATAACAATTAATAATGCAATTATACATGGTTTCCAATGGGATGTAATCTAAAGAAAATAACCAATCTTATGCAAGTGTTGGGACCATTTTCACCTAAATAGTCAAAGTTAAAAGTAAAAGTAAAATATTATGCAATCTAAATCTATACCAACTCCCATTCGTAGTAGAGAAGGTCTATTGATGCAAAGTGCATCTTTGATATCACAGTAGCTTTGTCGTAATTAAGGTTGATCGTACTTTTGATATACTGATGAGTTTGTCAAAATCACATTGAATCACTGTAATTTTATAAAAACTACAAAATGTAATTTTTGTAAATGCAATGAAACAAAGTACAAATACAAACAACAGTTTCTTTGAAAACTATATCCCTTGGGGACCACGAAACAATTGCATGGTTCTGTATTATGATGTCTAGTGATGTTATGTGTTGTAGTTCATCAATGCAAGCCATAGTCTCATAAATGCATCAAACATAAAGGTTGTCACAATCTCACCACCACCTTTGTCATAAAGCTATCTATGATTTCAAGTTTTCAACAGATTCAAGTAGTGGCTTTCACTCCAATATATGCTTAAATAGAAAATTTAGCTCAAATGGTAACTAAATTGATTCATAGACTGAGGAGACTGCAAGAAACTTGCCCTTGTTTAAGCAATCTTTTTTGTTGGAACTAAGACTTACGAACTATTCGATATCAAGAAATCGATTCTTCCCATAAAATCATTTAAGCATATACTTTTTATACATAGATTTAACACACTAAACAAATTGTTTTGCAAAATGTTTTTAGAAACGAGTAAATTTTTAATCTCTTCTTTGACACTACTTGCTTTTTAAACATCAATAACTAGTTCATTGATATAGAATTTTGTTGGAGGAGTCAATAGGAACATTGATACAAACTTGAAGACGAGGGATCTTTGTAAGAGACACATTATTTGTTCATCTAAAATCTTAAGGTGATAGGTGAGTGGGTTCTCTCACTCCACATTTCTATCTAATGTGAGACTATTTCCCCACTTACTCACACTTGCATTATTATTCTAACACTCCCCCTAAAGTATGAGCCAACAATGCTCTCCTCAAGACACTTGTACCGCCGTTGACACCTTGTAATGGGACACCTTTTCTTGAGCATTTCGATATAAGTAAGTTGGCCCCCTTTCTCGAATCAGGGGCTCATTATACCATTTGTTGGGGGAGTAACTAGGAGCATTGATATAAAGTTAAGATTATGCATATTTGTAAGAGACACACCATTTATCCACCTAAAATCTTAAGCCATTAGTAATCGGCTCATGGTGAGACAAATGTTAGATCATGCTTCTAGATTGAATGGACATAGGCTTGAATTGTGGATGAATTTTTTTAATATTATTTCAAACACCCTCAAATATCTTAGAGTTTATACACATGAATACTTAGGATAATTTCGTCTATATTCGAGTTTGCACAAGATTGATGAAAAGTCGAATGTACGGAAGAAAATCTAGAATTTTATTGAAGATGTACGTTTTCTAATATGTTTTCTGAATTCAGAATGATCAATTTATAAGTCAAGTTAGTTTTGTATTGTTTCGCCTACAGCAACACTTTTCAAGCGTTGTCTATTTTCATTCTGCAACACTTCACAAAGTGTTGCCGATTTTTAAAATTAAAATTCAAACTTAAGCAACAACCAAGACAAGATCAACGACTATAGCCATGTGTGTGGTGGCTTACTGCCTACAAGCCGCCACTACGCCCACGCCCACGGACTCGGTGCCTACAAGTCGCCACTACGCCTACGCCCACAAACTCGGTGTCGATCTTGGAGTCAGTGTCGTCGATAGCAACACTGACGAGGGATGTATGAAGGAAACAAGTGGCATAAGACTTGGGACCACAACACTTGTCTATGTGGCACTTTATCCTTTTTAACTCTTTTGTTGAGTTAATGAATGTAACTCTTTATAAAGACTTTCAACAGATTCTAGAGCGTTTCAGTTTCACATCACGTCATACCCCATCTTAGAGGCCGGTCTGCATTATTTAAGGCTTTCCTTGACTTCTTCAATGCCCGACAAAGTCTTGAGGACAAATATTTTGGACATGACAAATGCTCAATGGACCAAGATTCAATCTACTCTATTTGATCCAAAGTATAAAACGATTCTCATGTTAAGAACAAGGTACAATCTCTGATCTCCACTTTCATTATCCTCACCTTGAATCTTGAACTGCTTTGGGCGTTGGAGTGCTAACTATGCAAATCCACCCCACAACACCGTAAAGAAACCGGAGCAACAGTTCAAGATCACCAATTATTCAACTATCTGCATTTTTGATTCTTTCGTGGAGCTAGATCATCCATTTCTAGTTTTCAAACGAAACATATATATTTTTATACTTAGTTATCTTTTAGGGTTAAATAAGTTTTTGGTCCCTCTAAATATTTCAAATTTCGTTTTTAGTCCCTCTAAATTTTTCCTTCAAAGAATGGTCCTCCTAAAAAATTAAATTTTAACTTTTGGTCCCTCCTGACAAAATCGTAGCTAAAATGGTCTTTAATTTCATCGCTAAATAAAAACCGTCGCTAAAACTGTCGCTAAGTTGTAAAAACCGTCGCTAAATTGCAGGAGGGACCAAAAGTTAAAATTTAATTTTTTTTTTAGGAGGACCATTCTTTAAAGAAAATTTTTAGAAGGATTAAAAATAAAATTTGAGATATTTAAAGGGACCAAAAATTTATTTAATCTTATTATTTATTAGTATAATATATTGCATTATTTTATTATTTATTGAATTATTTTTATTATTATTTATTAGTTTGATTGAATCTATTTATTTTTATTGTTTCACTTGTTTCATTCATAATCTATTTATTTTTATTATTTCATACATAATTTATTTAGTTTTATTATTTCATTTGTTTCATACATAATTTATTTATTTTTATTATTTCATTTGTTTCATATATATTTATTTTTAATATATCATTATACATTATATTAAACCTACTATTTATTATTATTTTTAAAATAATAATAAAATATATTTTTTAAAAATTGAATATTAAAAAACAGATTCAAATTAATTCGTATCAAATTGGATTGGACCAATTTATTTAACCATCATCTAAAACTAAATTAAATTGTGTGTAAATTTATCTTTAGATCGGATGAAATTTTGTTTTAAAATCGATCCAAATCATACTGCAAACACCACCAACTCCACCTAAGAACTCAACCCTCAACCCGTATAAGATAATCCCTCTATCTCAAAATGACTAACTCAACCCTCAACCCGTATAAGATAATCCCTCTATCTCAAAATGACTTATTCAATCGTAAATAAAAATGACCCCAATAAACTATATTTTAATTTTTAATACTATACTAATTATTATATTTTTAATTGTACCTTCTAATTAATAAAACCAAAACCACTTTCGATTCAACATCTTATTTTTACATGTTTATTCCATATGAATACACTGAAGTAAAAGTATTATTTTCTCTATTTCATTTATACATGGTTTTTAATCATGTTAAATTGTCAATAGGTCAAGTGAATCAGTAATTTTGGGACAGACGGGTCAAGTGAATTAGTAATTTTGGAACAAAGGGGGAATATCTCAATGTTTTGAACCTACTCACTCACCTTTAGGGTGACTCAAGTTTTGTCAGCCCTTTCTTTTTCTAAAGAAAATCATTGCAATGGTAGAAGCTTGTAACTCACATTTAAAGCACAGTTCTACCATCCTTTCCTTTAGAGACTATATACATTTTGGTTCATGGGTCCAAATTTAATGACCAAAAAAGATGTGGAAAAGGAGCAAGGGTCCTCTGAGACCACTCTTCAGTTGGATCACAGAATAGGCAAAAGTTCAATAGTTCATCCTCTCATGATGGAAAGCTTTAACTCTTATTAGTAATGTGCTATTACACATGATGCTTCTCTGTTCTGTAAAGTTTCACAAGTGGTTAACTGAAGTGGTTTATTACAGCACTACAGTAATTTCCACACCACACAGTAGAAAGACTGAGAATATAAAAATACAAATAAAATAGAAGGCAGTTACAGAAAACAGATAATATGTAATACAGCTTGTGAAGATATATGTTTGTTTATTTTTGCTGTACACAACAGCTTGTGATAGTCTTAACCGTTGGCAAGTCGGCAAGCTAGTTTGGAGTAAGAGTGCACTCAGCAATTTTTTCCCATGATTTTAGTGTTTTGTCTTTGGTGTCAGTTTTGTATAATGCAAGCCTACTTATCTGAAAGCTCAAACCACTGAGAGTGTTGTCGAGAATATTAGCTCTTTCTTGAGCCTTTTGCTTCTCCTCATCGGTCAAATCTCCATACAAAAGGCTCACGTGTGGCATGTAAGCTGCACATTGAAACAAGATATACACCAATAAATCAAAAGGGATGAGGCAAAAACTTCTATTGTTTTACCCTAATGCTATTGTTACAGAAATCATTAACACTTGCAAACTAAAGAGGCTCTTCGATTTTAGAACACGCTAAGTCAGTTGGGTTTTCAGAGGTGACTATCGCTTCTGGATATGCAATATATCATCTCTCATCGAAATAGACATTCCGATAACAATTTATGTTCCAAGAGAAAGTAGATTCAAAATTCAAAATTTACAAAGACGCGTCCTCCAAGTGACAAATGTTCGCCATCAGAAAACAAAGTTTTACCTAAGTTTCTATTCTTTCAGTGAAAGTTCTATGATTGATTCAGCAAGGCAGCAATATGAATTTATTTGCAATGCAAACTAATTAACTAGCATTTCATACCATATTGTGATTGAAAATGCACCAGGGAAGTTTTTGGGGCACAACTAATCTAGGATATTCATAGCCTAGAATTATTAGCTATAGATTCATCCATCAATTGAAAAGGAAAAGCAAACAATGTAACAGAAAATTGATAGGA